ATTTGAAAATCCAAGGAATAGGCTTTCATTCTGCCTGTGATTGGTTTAGGACTGGTCCTACAGGTGAATATTATCAGTAAATTCAGGTAAAAGAAAGCTGGAGAAGACAAAGAAATAGAGGACATTACAGAGAGTTGACAGAAGTCCTGTGTCGGTATTGTTACTGTCTTGTTTGACAGAAGAACGAGGGCTCAGAGGAATTTATCTATCTCTGCATCTATCCATCCGTTCATTCAAGCAAACAGAAATCATATTCTGCCTCATTCCAAAAAAGTTTTCAAAAAGATGAAGTGACTTCCCATGGTCACAACAGCAATGTGGGATAGAAAACCAAACTGTTTCTGATCTACTCTACTTTCTGTCTACCACAAGTAATAGATTTTTCAATGAAAAACACTTGTTGGTACATTTTAGAACCTTCTTCTCCCCACCTCCCCCAGAATCTTACAGCAAACACTAGTATATAAAAGCTCAATTGTCCTGACTGAACCAGGCATGGGAAGCCAGGGACATCTCTGTTCAGTCTTCCCTTTGCTCCCAACAGAGTCAGCTCTCTGCAGCATTGTTGGAAAGGCATTATTTTAGAACACTCTTTAGTAATACCAGAAGACTTTATTATGCCACAGATTGGATCAGAGGTTCTTTGCATGTACTACCAGTCACTTCTGCTGCCTAAAAACTGTGACTGTGCTTTATTGACGATTGACTATGTGCCAAAATGTGTTTAAGACTGGAAGCGGGCAGTTCTGTCTAGACTGTAGCATCAGGAATGCTGCTGGCTCTTAATTATCTCTTTAGTTCCTCTCCCTGCAAGTGAGTTTTCCAATATGTACAACATAACCTGAAAGAAAGTCATTTAGGAAAGAGTGAGACATTTCAGAATTTCCACTAAAACTTCCTTTGGCTCCCCACTGCCTATAAGAAAAGGCCCAAACTCCCTATCTTACACATTTGAAAACCAAAAATATGGGTTCCCAAACTACTTTTATGAAACTCATCTTCTACCACTTCCAACTTCCCTATACCCCAGCCCCCTAAATCTCCACGTAAATCTTACCCTCCAACTCCAAGAAACTACTTCTGGTCCCTAAACTACATGCTTGTGTATGCCTTTGCGTGTAGTATTGCTCCCTCAAACCAGAGTGCCCTGACCTCTGATGAACCCCTGCTCTTCTTTCAGGGCCCAGCATTTCCTCAGTGAAATCAATTCCCCAGGCAGACCTGGCCATTCTTTCCTCAGGGCACTCAGAGCACTTCATAGATCCATTAATAATAGTACTGGTCACTCTATTTTTTAGTTATCTGTTTGCATGATTCTGTCCCATGATGTATGGAACTTCTCAAAGACAAGAGCAGGATCTTTTTTTTTTTTTTTAATTGGGCTTTAGGTAAAAGTTTACAGCTCAAGTTAATTTCTCAGTCAAATATTTATACACATATTGTTTTGTGACATTCATTGCAATCCCAAGAATGGGATCTTCTTTTTCTTTGTATTACTGGTACCTGCATAGGCCCTGGCATATTATATGAATGAGTTGTAGATAAATGGCCCTCTTCCAGAATCCAACCTTATTCAAGTAGAGGAAAATTCCTTATCTATAGATTTTCTTAATTCTGAGTTCTCTCTGTTGATCTCACCCTTGTTTCTGTCTTCAGCCTAGTCTGGAACTCCCTCTCAGCCACCAGGGACCTTAAGGCTATAAGATGCTTAGAATCACTCAAGGCAGCCTCCACACTGGTGATTCTTTTCTAAGGCCCATCTCCCCCTCCCCAGTGCCTTCCCCTCCACCAGCCCCATTTCCCCACCTCTAACTTGATCCTAGCCTTTTATTTTTGCTCTTACCTTTTGACTCCAGGAGGCTTCTTAGTGTCATCTTATTTCTCTCCCTGGATCCACCCTGATTTTCTTTTATCCTTACTTTTACATATAACATATGTAGTCTGATCTGGCTATGGTCAAAACAGAACAAGCATACTGGAAAAACAAGGAAGACAGATAAAAGCAAATAGGATATGTCAGGTGCATGGAAATCAAGTCCTCTGAGGTATTCTACCCAACAAACTAGCAAGATCACAAAAGAATACCTATGGCCTGTCCAGCTGCTGCCATGAAAAGTGTCGCTTCCATAACGGTTTTCTCTTATGATTTACCATTTTAGAAACATTTCACACCACCACACAAAACTATGTTCTCCTCTGAAATTCAAAAAGCCTCAGGTTAAGAATTATTTACTTCAGTGTCCCATAATTTTTTTATTGTGCTTTAGATGAAGGTATACAGAGCAAATTAGTTTCTAGTTAAACAATTAATACACATACTGTTTTGTGACATTGGTTGCCAACCCCACAACATATCAGTACTTTCCCCTTCTCAACCTTGGGATCCCCATTACCAGCTTTCCTGTCCCCTTCTGCCTTCTAATCCTTGCCCCTGGGCTGGTGTGCCCATTTAGTCTCATTTTGTTTTGTTAGTCTCTGTCTGATCTTTGGCTGAAGGATGAACCTCCGGAGTGCCTTCAGTACCGAGTTAAAAGGGTGTCCGGGGGCCATACCCTAGGGGTTTCTCCAGTCTCTGTCAGATCAGTAAATCTGGTCTTTTTTTGTGAGTTAGAATTTTGTTCTACATTTTTCTCCGTCTCTGTTCGGGACCCTCTATTGTGAGCCCTGTCAGAGCAGTCAGTGGTGGCAGCCAGGCACCAGCTCGTTGTGCTGGACTCAGTCTGGTGGAGGCTGTGGTAGTTGTGGCCCATTAGTTCTTTGGACTAATCTTTCCCTTATGCCTTTGGTTTTCTTCATTCTCCCTTGCTCCAGACAGGGTAGAATCAGTAGAGTATCTTAGATGGCTGCTCACAAGCTTTTAAGACCCCAGATGCTACTCACCAAAGTAGGATGTAGAACATTTTCTTTATAAACTATGTTATGCCAATTGAGCTAGACATCCCCTGAGACCATGGTCCCCAGCCCTCAGCCCAGTAATTCGGTTCCTCAGGGATGTCCCATAATTTGATGCTTGTTTTTAAATGCAGAGGCAACATAGAGCACTAGATATGGAGTCATGAGTTGTGAGCTCTTGTACTGCTTAATCACTAAGCAGTTGTAATTTAATTTTGAGCCTTTGAATTTAAATTTGAGCCTCAGGTCCTTCATATGTAAAACAAGAGTAATACCTGCCCTGCATCTCTCCTAGGGTCTTTATGAATTTTTCATATGCTTTCACATACAAGATTGCTATTGAATAATGATTTGATTAACATCAGTATTGTTCTTTTTTTCATATGTAGGTCAAATCTGATGCCCAATAATTTTGATTTTGATAAGTTTCAGTTTGTATCACTGAATATACCAGTTGCTGTCAGTAATGGTAGCCCTACTTTTCAATTTCAACCCAGAAAAATATTTTGGAAGAAACACTAACATAGTAACTAGGATAGCATATTATCCTGAAAAATATAAATAAACTGTTCATTCAAAATCTTTGGCATACTGTTAAATTTCTGAGTCAAGTCTCCTATAATCTTCCAGTCCCTGGGAGACAATTCCAGTCACCTTATAAATAAACACAAGGATCACCAAGATCTACTCCTTGCCGTTCTCTACGGCTTTTCTTCCTAGCATTTCCCAACCTGCAACCTACACTTCAGCCATGACAATATTTACCACCCCCTAAACATACCCAATGTCTTTTGAACATCCTTTCTTACCTCTGCTTGTGTTCTTCCCTGAAATGCCTTTTCCTACTTTATCCTACTACACTTCATATCCTTCAAGGTGTGAGTCTAGCATCCTCCACCCCTTTTCTTCTTAGGCAAAGTTAGACTCCCAACTCTGTCTCCAGCACCACAATGCATAGTGCATATTTTAGCATACATAAGATTGTATTTTAATTGTGCATGCATTGACTTCTTTCCTCAAGGAAAAGGGACTATATCTGATTTATTTTAATATCTAGAGTGACTGGTACATGGTAGGTGGTCAAAAAAATATTTTTTATGTTAGTGTTGTTGAATTACCAACCAGAATGCTAGTCATTTGTTCTGAGAACACGGTAGGCACATAAATTCAGAGATAAACAGAGTTCCTGCCCTCAAGGAGCTTCTCATGTATGTAGAACCTATATTAGGTTCTACATATTCATGTAAGAACCTATATTACAGTATAATATAGTAATAGTACAGTATAGCAATAGTATACCAATAGTATAGTATAGTATAAAAGCCAAAAACTAAACCCATTGCCATCGAGTCAATTCTGACTCATTGTGACCCTGCCCCATAGGGTTTCCAAGGAGCAGCTGGTGGATTTGAACTACCAACCTTTTGGTTAGTATAATATAGTATAATATGAAATAAGACTATGGGCTCAGATTGGAAGAATATTGAGGGGAATTTAGAAGAATTAGTATGAGTTAACTAGATAAACAAGCTGGGAGGGAAGAAGATTGTAGCAGAAGAGAAAGTGTTGTTGGCGCAGATTAAAAACCATGGTATTTCCTTCAATACAGAATATATTTGGTCCAGAAAGCACTGGTTGGCACAGAATTATTAGCAGGTGAGTAACAGTGTGATAGGTCATTTAGAAATATCTCTTGGCTGGAGTGGAGTATGAATTAGAAAAGAGCTAGAACAGAGGCAGAGAGACAAGCTATTTCAGTAACCCAGGCTATAGCAATGGAAAAGGACAGGAGCGAACAGACTCCAGAGATGTTACAGCAAAACAGTCACAGGACTTGCTGAATGACTGTATGTCAGGTAAGGAAAAGTGAGGAGTCAAAGATAAAGTATTCTCCTGCATTCCTTTTTACCAAAGAAGAAAGAATGGTTTTCATTGAACCTTAAAATATGTCTAAGGACTTTTAAAACTCTATTGGATCCCGTTCCAACTGCTGTCTCATTACAAGGGACTGCAGTAGGGTGGAAGCAATGGCACTAGGATCAGTACTTGTATGGATGGACAGATGGACAGTCTTGTGGATTCTAATTTCATTCCTTGTTTTTCTCAAGTCATGTAACACAGACCACATCCTGGATCCATCCTGTGACAAGTGCACTGAACCTGTCTTGCTCAGAGGAGAATGAAGACGATTGCTCCAGAGAACTTCCTAACCAGAAGAGCTGATGATTTTCTATAGGAAGCTGAGCTACGTGGTCTTCTGGCATCTCCAACTACATGGATGACCTGAGCAGATACATATAACACCCAACTCTGAGATGCCACCATCTAAAATAGGAATAAAGCACACACTACTTGTTGAAGTTATGAAATAGAGACTCTGGATTTAGGATATTTTTGTAAAACTCTTTGATGTAACTGTATGTATTTACAAGATCAATTACCACTACAGTAGTTCTTTAAGAATAATCTAGTTATATTTTTTTGAAATCACATATAATTAGATTTTATAATATGTGTAATTTTGTCATATATATTTAGACCTTTGTAGTTTTATATATAGTTTCTTTATAAGGTATCAGCTATGATGGTTTTATAATTATCATAATGAAAAATTCTGTGAACATAGTGAAACACTTCATTTTACTTGACAATTCACTAGCCTTTTATATTTGTATCTTAGGAAAGTTATCTTAGCAAGTTTTTTGGGTTTTTTTAAGGATCGCTTCTAGACAACTATCCCACTGGCCACTGAATACAGCTTACATTTTTATGGGGCTTTCTGATTTACCAAACGCTTTTCAGACCCTGTTTTATTTAAACCATACAACATTCCTATGAGACACATCCAGTGGGTATTTTTATTCTTGTTTTTCAGTTAGGGAGATAGCAATTCAGAGAGATGAAGCACCGTGTCCAGGGCTGGGACCCATACCTAGGTCTTCCGATTCCAAGTCCAGTCCCCTTTTCACCACACCCTGCTGTCTGTACAGAGGGAGGTCAAACCTGACACACAGGGCACCATGGTTCTGTTGATGCAGCTGGCTCCACAGCTGTGCACCCCAGTGAACACAGAGATTCAGAAGGCACCTCTTCCATCAAACATGTCCCCTTCATAGCCCTACTAGTCTTCTTCTATAAACCCTTCCCCGTTATTTCTTCCATCTTCTCCACCCCCAAACACTCACCATACCTGGCTTTGTGATGTTATTTCAACAGGTTTCTTTCAGCAGCTCACCTCTTTCTAAAGTACAGAGACTGGCTCACATCAGTGGTTTGCCCTGCTTAGGTTGCCGTTGCCAGAGAGTGTGATTGAGGGGAGCTGTAGAGAAGAGGGGCATCAGATACTCTTCTACTATCAATAGGGACATACCTAAACTCCTCTGCTAGGAGTTCAAGACTGATCTCGTTATTGCTGATGTTACTTTATTTTAGTGTAAGGATGACTACTAGACTGTTTCTGGAAGGAAGGAATGATTGATTTGGAATTCTAAAGATTGTCTCTTAGTTTAGTGATTTAAACCTGAGGGTGAGAAATGGGACATGGGGTGGGGAGGAAGTCATTTTAAATGTCCTAAGCACTGGGTACCAATTGAATAATAAAAAAAGGACTTATGTTTATCCAGTGTTATTATTATATTGTGAGGTAATATACTTTTAGTAAATATGAGTAAGAATCATTCAACAGATTGCCCTGGGCCCAAACCATGTCCAATAACATGGAGAAGTGACTGTCAACATGGCTCCTTCCCTTCCCTCCTTCCCTCTCTCTTTGAAATACAGAGGTTCTAGAAGGAACCTTGAGGCTCACCTAATTTGATGATTTTCAAATGTTTTTTGTTGAAAAAACTCATTTTTCAATTGACTTCTTATGCAGAATATATATATATATATATATTTTAATATTGCTGCTCCTTGAAATAAGATGGAGGCCTGGAGCCCAAATAAAGCAGCCCCCAGTTGAGCTCCTTAGAACATAGTGTAAGAACCATCAGTTGGAACCATTTTATAGACGAGTAAATCGAGACCCTAAGAGGGAAATGACTGCAGGTTCACACAATGACTTAGTGGCTAGGTCAGGATTAGACCTACATCCTAATTTTCCCAGTCACTGAATTTCATATGACATAATACAGACGTATATGGTAAATATATGTATACATTGTGCTCCCCCATACATATTTATATACATCTTTGAATATATGTAGGATTTACAATTTATATCTTGAGTAATAATGTAAAGTCAAATCCAAACTGATAGATAGTCATTAGCCCTGAGAAAAGTTTCAGAATGGCTAGAGAAGGCTTCTGTTTGGCCTGACAGTGATTTGAATATCAGGAGGCTTCAGGGAGACATGTTTTGAGAGAAGCCCTGAGGGAGCTGTTTCCTTGTGTTCCCACAGAGATGAGTGGGATTCTCAAACACCTGAAGTTTACTTTTATAAGTTAGTATCTAGAATTGTGAAAGTATCAACTTTTTGTTGTTTGCAAAATTAGTAGTATGAAATTTCTCTCCCCCTAGTTAGAGTGTTTTTCTCATTTGTTTCTAGTGAGGAAAACATAGAGGAGATGCTAGAATCACTTGAGATCAAGGCTCTTAGGCATGCCTTTCACTGACAGAGATGCCTCGTCTTTTAGCTTTGCTGTTTTGTGCCACTTTTCTCCCTGCTTCTATCAAATAGCTAATGGAAAAGGCCTATGAAAAATTGTGATGACATTCTGTGCCATACCTTGTGATGGGCGGTTTGCATATACTATTTCATCATCTTTTTAGAGTAAACCCATGAGATAGGGACTATAATTATCCCCATCTTACAAAGAAGAAATTTGGATTTCGAGAGAGGTGATAATCGTTGTGTAAGTGTCACCCAGCACCTAAGTATAGAATCCGGGGTTCAAAGGCAGGTTTCTATGACTCCAGAGCTCATGGTCTAAGCCACTATGCAGTGCTGCTTGGGTTTGTTGTGTGTGGCTCTGGGACAGAGCTGGGATCTGTGGGTCAATTTATAAGGAGGTTGGATCCAGTTCAGTACAATAAGGAACTTTCTGGTAGAGCTTATCAGAAAAGAATGCCCCAAGAAAAAGCAGAAGCACTGTCCCAGGATGTGTTCAGTCAATCTGAACACCTTACTATGGGAATGTTGCTGAGGAGGTGGAAGGTCTGAAATGGCTGAACTGTTTGCAAACTCTCTGAGATTCTCTCCTCTTTACGATTCTGTGACTTCTAAATCAACAGGTAAATTCCTTAAGAGATGCTTAAAAAAACATATAATGTGGACCGATGAAGAGTCCTTTTCCACTGCAAATAGAACTCCCAGATTATTTTTTGGTGAGTTGACTTCAATATAGTCAGTCTTTCTTCAACATAAATTAACCTTGTCAACATGGTTTCTTGAACTCTTCTCCATTAAACCACTAGCTCAATTTTAAGTTTAGAAAATCTGAGTGTTCTTATGTACCTCCATCTCACTTTGCTGAAGTGTGACCAGGGCTAGCTACCTTATTCATTAATTCACTCAGAAAATACTCATTGAGTACCCACAGTGTGCCATGCACTGTGCCAGGCACTAGTTGGCCAAGTAGGGCACTAGCTAACCATTATTTCCTGTTCTGCTTACTGTTGTTTAAAAAAAAAAAAAAGTTTTTCAGGTGTTCAGTGTGGCCTGCCTTAAACAGCTTTTCCTTTTTTTTATATAATTTTAAATTTTTTTGAATAATCTTTTCATTAAAAAAAATGAACAGTATGGGGTTGAATAAAGTAAAAAATAGCCCATCTGATTTTCCAGAGGTAACCATCATTAATACTTTCTTGAGTATTTTTACTCAAAAGAGATCATACTTACTTTTGACTTTTCATGTCACTAAGTAGATTGCTGTTTTTCAATTTTCTGTATACAACATCTTTACCCAGATAACCCATAATTTGTATAACCAGCAATCTAGTGATGACCGTTCAGGCTATTTTCAGTTTTCTTCTGCTGTTAACAATGTCATAGTGAACTTCCTCATATTCATTAAACCTTTTTCCTCATATATCTGTGCACTCTTGTGCAAATATGATTGTAGTGTGACTACATTAATAAAAGTAAGTTGCTAGGTCAAAGATATACTCAATTTTGGTAGATATTGATAAATTCTTCTCCATAAAGATGGGACCAATTTACACTACTACCCAAGCTTCTTTTCTCTATATTATAGGATTTTTCAGTCCAAAAATTGCCAGTAACTTTTCTGATTTAACTTTTCTGTCCTTAGAAAAATGACCTTTTCATCATTGTCCAAGAACCTAAATTTTTAGATTATCAGGTTTCATATTTCCTTTAGCAGCGGAGACTAACTCACTGTATATAGGGTGACTAATTATGCTCATCTTTTCAACTGAAAATGTTAAATTTTCCTAATTTATATATATGGTGGTGAGGACCAACCTTTACACGAGCTAACTTAGGTGAGAGCCATTGGTAAAGTGCAAAGCACAATGCAAACACAAGTTCTTTGGGCATTGATTTCCCCATCTGTATAATGAGGATAATAATCCCCTGCCTCTTCAACTCAGCAAACATTTCCCAAGCATCTACTAACTGCCAGACAAGGTGCAAGGTTTTGGAGTGACCGAGCTGAATAGTTCAAATACCTAAGTCAAAGAACTCATAGTCTGAAGCAGTCAATTTACAAAACCCTTTTTTCTTTTCTTTACTTTTTCCAAAAACCTTTTATTTTTCTTTAGAGTGGTAAGAAGTATATTAAGAACCCCTCAGGAGAGGCCCCTTATCACCTTTAAATTTGAATAAGTTCAAAATAATGTTAACAACATCCCTTGACTAGAAAATAAAAGGAAAAAAAAAAGGAACATACCATATGAAGGGCCCCTCCAATAATAAATGCAAAAGCAGCTGTCAAAATACAGAGTCAAATGATACTTTCATAAAGTGTTTGCAAAATTAGAAAATATCCTTTTTCTGGGGGAGATGAGATATTTTTATTTTCTGTGCCAAATGAAATGCAATTTTTTCCAAGGGTCAACAGACTTGACATTTTTACAATATATAGAAGAGAAAGAACTGAATTAAGATTAAAACAACCTTCATACTATATTGCATATAACTTTTGAGAAGATGAAAAATTTAAATAGTATATGCTTGTGGAGCTTAACTTTAGAAATAAAATACCCAAGATGTTTTCAACCACAACTATCCACATGTAGGGTCACTATGAGTTGGAATCAACTCGATGGCAGCAGGTTTGGTTTTTTTTTTAATTTTTTTAGCCACATGTAATATCATTGTGCCTGCATGATGGTTTTGTAAATATTGAATGCGGTTTTGTATTTGCTTTCTTCATGCAACTTTTTATATTTAAACTAATACTATTTTTTAGATTTTTTTCTAAAGTTCAGTTTTTATTCTCTTGGTGGGAGGTGTTGGCCTGAAGAAAGGGTCATCAGGTCAGTAGCTCCCTCCCCCACCCCCATTCCACCATCACCAAATTAT